TTTCTGGGTTTTGATAAAAATTGGTGATTTGAGATATTTGAAGAAGTATATGTATATTATGTTATTTTCTGGGAAAGTATACAGGTTTTACAGCGAGGGATTAGAAATGTTTTAAATGAAATGTTTTTGAAAAACTTTGGTTTTACTGACCCACTCAATTTTGTTTTGCGCCCCTCCAGGTTCTAGTTAGCAGCGTTGGTGGCCCACGAGGATTCCCATGGCGTACTGACAGACTACAGAAATGTAAGACTCACCTGCGGGTGTTGTAATTTAGTTATGGTCCTACTTGACTGCACCTAGTACTTATGCTCTAAATTTGTGTGTTTCACACTTAAACTTACTCTAGCATGTTAGTTGGATATTATTGCTAGTAGTTGGTTTTTATTCCTTGGTAATTCCTTTATCTTTTGCTTCTGCGTCGCACTTTTGGTTACGTCACGCTCACGTGACGGCCAGTACGCCTTGATTTTAGGATCGGGGTGTGTCACTTTTAATTTTTAATAGGAAAAAAAATTATGATTTTTAATTTTTTTTTGAATTTCGTCTTAAAAATATAATAACAAATAAAAAGGTTACATGACGTCAGCTAGCAGCATAACAGGGCCCAACTTTCAAGGATGGCTATGTTTGCCCAGCCTTTTGGCCATTTGGCTATATTTTGGCCCCGATGGGTCCCAAATTTTTTTAGCCCAACCCTCCATTGGAAATGAGTTTTTTGGTCAAAACGAGCTATGTTTTGGCCTATAACCTTTTGGCCGGCTTGGTTGGAGATGGATTTAGATCCCATATGGATTCAAATTGTGGGGTTCCTAGGGATCCTCATATCCTAACGATTCATTGTACATCATACGATCAGAAATCACTTGAATTTTTTTATTTAAAATTAAACACAAATAGTACCTAACGAAAACTGGCCGCATGATGCACGATGAACGACTAAGAAGTGAGGATCATTAGGATCCGCGTAAAGAGGATCCAGAAAGGATCCTCATCCGTTGGAGATGACCTAAGTGTCCAAAAGGAAAGGAAAAGGGAAAGAGTTCAATGATGCAAAGTAGTAACTTGAAAGTTGAAACACCAACTTTTTTGCTGAATTGCATGAACAATTTATTTTTTGGGGTTGTACTACTAATTCCATAAGGCAATTTGACATTGAACTTTGTTTGAACTTTAATTTGAGAATTTTAAAGTGCCAATGATAATTCCCTCACACAAATGTTTTTCTCTTTCTATCTCAAACCCCTTCATTATTCATCATGGACCATGGTGAATGAAAATGTGGAGGCAGAAAAAAATATGTGGAATGCTTGAATACAAATGAATAAGATTTCATCCTATCCCCTTATGATTTTTGCTTACTTATTTTTTTTATCATTTATATTTTTATAGGGTATTTGAGGTCGCACTTGGTGCGATGGCAAGTGCCTTCGCCCATGAGCGGTAGGTCTCGGGTTCGAGACTTGGGAGCAGCCTCTCCATAAATGGGGGTAAGGCTAGCTGACATTCACCTCTCCCAGACCCTGCGTAAAGCGGGAGTCTTGTGCACTGGGTACGACCATTATATTTTTATAGGGTATTTGAATATAGGTCCAATTTCACTGCTTTAATATGGACATAGGCCATTTAGTACTATGGTCTAGTGGTATATTCCTTTTTGCTTATAAGTGAGAGGTCTTAGATTCAATTCTCGGCAAAGATGATTTTGAATCACATTATGGCTAACCCATTGTGAGGCGAAACTCACCCCCCTTCTTTTTAATGTAAATAATATCGGTTGTTAAAAAAAAATATATATATATAGTCCACTATAGTACTACCCCCTTCTCTAATGAAAATAATGTAGCCACCTTTTTGAAGATAAATTACACCTGCCTTTATTTCAAGGGAAAATGAAGGGAGACAAATCCTTAAAAAATAGGCACCCACTTAATTATCCTTCCTATCAACTTAATCATAGGGTTCAAAATTTAAAAGTACTTTAAATTGGAATAAAGCTATTACTTAAGCATGTAGAAGCTTAAACAATCTTCAGAGTCTGAATGAGCCGCAAAGGTTATGTTTGTCCTTCGCAAAGTATGAGACTTTGCCAGCTACGTTATTGTGTTGGGATTTTGTGGATTATGGTTATGTGCAAGTTTGGGTTTGTTCAACTTTCAAGGTGGACGAAGAGTTGATGTAACTTATGTGCTTGGGGTTCTTACGTCCCCGGAGTTGAGGTTATTTATAATGGTGGAGCTAGAAATAGAAGTTAGGAGGGGTCTCTAAGCCGTATGAAAGAAATTGGTCAAAAAATAATATAACTAGGGAAAAAAAGGTTCATTTTTGGTAGTGGGATGAAAATTTTTAAACGAAAACTAATGAAAATGGCTTGAAAACTTTGAGTTTTAATGATAAGGACAAAATAAAGGGTAAAGTGAATAGTACCAGGTTTGACTTTTTAGTGTAAAAATGTGGTTTTCGTTAAAGTGAACAGTACTGTGAGCTTTTCGTTAAAACTCCCAAATTTTAATCACAAAAAAAAAAAGATTGAGATAATTGTATCATAAGCACCAAACTCCTTTATAAGTTCTTACATTGTAGTTGAACAAAAATTAATAATCATGACTCAGAACTGCAGCTATGAAAATTGATTTTCAAGATAAATTCTTTCTCGATCTGTTCCATATATGTGTGGTTTCACTGTAAAACAAATCATGTAAAATGGTGAGCTAACTAAGGAAGGTTAGTTTGTATAAGACTTTGGCTTCATAACAATGCTACTATAAAACACACTTTTTGATCAATTAGAGAAATATAATAAAGTTAGCTGAGAGGAAAAACACATAAGTTGAAGAATGCAGAGTATGTAACCAAAATCACACAAATAGAAGTTACAAAGTAAAGAAACTTTAGGGCCTTTCCTAGCCACTTGAGGTTATTTATCGGTTAATCTACTCGGAGTTAATGTTGTTTATCCGGTTATTTATCTAGGGTTAAAGGTTGTTTCCGTCATCTCCTGTACCTCTCTTTCTTGGTGTCACGAATGAACTTTTTTGTTATGGTTCCACTTCCACTGATTATGTATTGTCGTTAAGAGGTGTGTGTTAGGCTTGAGTAAGAGTAAGTGTATTGTTTTATATGAAAACTAATAAAAATGATTTGAAAATTTTGAGTTTTAACGAAAAAGACAAATAAAGAGTAAAGTGAATAGTACCATTGACTTTTTAGTATAAAAATATAGTTTTTCGTTAAGGTAAATCGTACCGGAAGTTTTTTGTTAAAGTTATCTTGTTTTATTCTGGTGAAAGTGGCGCTTAATTACACGTATGTAGGTTTCTACCACCTTAGAGACTGGTTATATTCCGGTGGAAGTGGCGCTTTATTACTTCTCTGCAATAATGTAGAACAGAAGGTTCTAGGAAGAAGACGAACTATACATAGCAGTATTTGATAGGAGGGTTATGAGATGATAATATTGAATATTTTTAGGGATTAACTTAATGACAATTTGAACCAATCTTATAATAAAGGGATTAGCTTAATGACAGTTTGCAATAATGAATTACAATAAGTTTTCAAAATAAGTAATTTTGGATAATATTATTATTTATTTTATTCATCCCTATAAATTTGGTATGAAAAAAAACAAATTTGAAGTTGAACCAATGTTTAAAATATCGGTATCGGCGAAAAGACCATAATGCAAATTCATGAAAATATCGATGGATATATCTAATATCAATAAAATTTAGGGATTGTCAAACATTGGTTTAAACAAAATATAAGAGTTTCTCTGATATTAACAGGTGTCAAAAATATCGACGATATATGTCGGGTTTAGCCTAAACTTAAGAGTCTTTTCAATATAAGGTGAAGTTTAGACTTCACCCTCTATGTCTGTATCTTTTTTTTTTTTTTTTTTTTTTTGTATTGAAAAACTTTTAAACACTGAGTGAAACCAATCATTAGATCTATTTCAATAATACACAGAAAGCCAACTATTAATAGCACTAAAGAAAAAAAAATTCATTTTTTGCACTCCTCACGGTTGTATTTTTTTTTTCTATATAAAAAAAATTTAGAATACAAAATGAAAATTTAGAAATGCCAATAACAATTCCTTTTTTTTTGTGTTCAAAATATAAGCTTGCATAAAACCAGAGAAAACAACAAAGCCAAACACCATGGGAAATGAGAAACAGAAAGGAAAAAAAGAAAAGGAGCCTGTGGAACTAACCACACGGCAGAGAGGGTTTTTTTATTTTTTGAATAAACGATATTATTATACTAAAGAAAAGAGGGTAGACTAAGTCTCAACAATGAATTAACAATAATATTATTCAAATTTATTTTTGATAAGAATTGAATCTAGTACTCCTTATTTAAGTAAAAAAAAATACTACTTTACCGTAGTTTTTTAGATTTCTCAATTGATGAATGGGAGAATAAATAAAGCAGCTGCAGTTGTTGATGTTGTACCACTACCACAGATTTTTGTTGCCATAAACCAAAAAGTTGATGCCTGCCCAAGCCTGCACCAGTAGTACCCCCCCCCAAAAAAAAAAACCCCAAAAAAATCAATTTTCTTTTTATAGACAATTTATTTCTTCATGCCTTGGCAACCTAATTTTACTTTTCCATTCACTTAAAATACTATAAAATTAATAACAGCAATAATTACTACATTTCACTTTTGCCCATATTTCAAGCAAAATATATGCTTAAGAAAAGAAATAATAAAAAAAATAGTGTTATTTACACATATTTTTTAATTTATTTGATCCTTCACTCGAGAATTAAAGAGTGAATAACACCATCAGAAAATTCCTACCATTAGACAATTCCTACCCTTACCCTTTTTTTAATATATTATTTCTGGCCGGATTCCAACCAAAACAAGATATATTTTTAACATAAAAATGCTAAAATAAACAACATGCTCAAAATGTCCATTTAATTTAATATTTTTTTCCCTTTATTTGTTTTTCATTTCTTTTGTTTAATCGCAATTCGGACAGTCTAAGGAAAGTTTGGCACCCAATAAACTGTAAAACAAAATACAAAGCTTTTCTTACTATTATCTCAACAATTTTTTCCATTCAAATCACAAAACCAGAAAATCTAAGAGCCCAAAAGATCAAATCCAAATTATTAATTTTTTTTCCTTTGAGCTCTGTTTTTCCAGCTAACTTTGCCTTTAAATAAAATAGCTTTGAGTAAAACTAAACCTTCACAAACATTTGCAGCTAATTGTATTTTTTTCCCTGTAATTTTTATTTTTTTGTGTTAAAAGCTCAGGAAGGAAGCTTCACAGTCTGTTGTTCTTGTTTTAATTTTTTTCTCCATCTGGGTTTTCTGTTCCGAATATAATTTCTGGTTAAGTTTTCAAATTTCGAATGAGTGGGCAATTTTAAATTAGTAAAGTAAAAATGGGTTTTTGTTAAAAAGCTCAAAAGATACAATTTTGGGGGGTTTAAGTGTTAACTATGGAGGGTAGGGAAGGTGGTGTGAATAGTAGTGGGGTTACAGTTGTGGGATCAGATGCTCCATCAGACTACCATGTCGCTCCAAGGTCAGAAAACCCGACCCACAACGCTGGATCAACACCTCATGTGCCGGTTGCGCCGCCACAGGCGGCGTCTCTGCCGGCGGCAGGGTCTATGCCGATGAAGAAGAAGAGAGGGAGGCCAAGGAAGTATGGACCGGACGGGAGTGTCACCATGGCTCTGTCACCGAAGCCCATATCGTCCTCTGCGCCGCCGCCGGTGATCGATTTCTCGGCGGAGAAGCGTGGGAAAGTGAAGCCACCCAGCTCAGTGAGCAAGACCAAGTACGAGGTGGAGAATTTAGGTAATGAAATAACAGTTTTTTGGACATACCCTTTTGAGTTTGAGTGATTTTATGCTTGTTTTTGAGCTAAAGTCGAAATTTTTAAGGTTGGTTTTGTGTGGTTTCTGTGTTGGGATTGGGTGAGATATACTCTAAATAGAGGGTATAGATTTGGGGTTTATGGGATGCTTGTTGGGTAGATGTGGGACCTCTGATTGGATGCCCTTCTTACTTGAAAGATCTTGGTGTGTGCGTGGGTGGTGGTTCTGAAAGATGAGTGTTTTTGTGGGTTGGTGGTATGGGAATGAAGGAATCTTCTTGTTCTGGCTGTCCTTTGGAGGCGGCCTTTCTCTCACCTTTTTGAGGAAGAAAATGATGTCAGGTGCCAATTTATGTACATGCTAAAGTCTGCAAGTCATGGTGAACAGACTTGGACCTGAAACCAGTCTTCAACTTGCTGACAGATCTAAATAGTAAACAATAACAACCTCATCCTTTTATTTATGTCTTGTCCATGTTGAAGATCTGATTCTGGTTTTATGTTGTTTCATAGGTTTCTCAGAATGTAATAATCCTAGTCAGTTACCAATGTTCTTTGGTGTTTGAGTACATCTAGATTGTGGTCAGTCAGCTTTCATAGTATTCTTCGAATGATTCTCTACAACATGAATGGTGGAACATCCGTTGTCATAGATACTTGCATGTGTTGGATTCGAGTTTGTCATCTGCTGGCTGCATGAATGTCTGCATGAAAATTTTGAAATCCCATCTACCAATCATCTGCAGAAATGTGTCGTTTGGAATTTGGGTCATTTTTGGCTATTAATTTTGATAAGATAATTGTTTAGTTTGCATGCAGATTTTTTATTGTATTTTTAAGATTAATTTGGGACTGACATTTAACATTTTGGGACTACTTCCAGTCTTTCAGTGATTTAATTTCATCAATGCATCATAACTCTATCCTTATTTTTTCTTTTTCCTTTTGGATAATGCACTAATTGTTCGGATATATGAACAGTTATTCTACATTATACAAAAGATAGATTGAAGTGAATGTCGGAAATGTTGATTTAGCACAATGGTGTACTTAACTTAGTTTTATAAATAACTAGCTTAGCACTACTGGAATAACCAGGAATAATTCAAATCCTTCTGACCAATAGTTTTCAATTACCTAACTGTAAGCATTACTAATATTCTATTTACATTGTTGATCAGGTATGTGTAGTAGTTATCTGACACAAGTAAAGATGGTAAATTATAGATTATAAGGGAATCAAGTGATATTTAATTACAGGAATGCATATGATTTCTCTCTGATGCGAATGGCAATGCTTTGGAAATGATACCTAAAATCATCTGTTGGTCTGTGTTTGTATCTGTAATTTATGAAGTCTAAAGATGACAACTTCTGGATGTTAACAAATTTATGCAACCACGGCTCTGGAAGCTTGGAAAATCATACTGGAATAAGCTACTCCTCCCTTGTAAATGGTTGCTGTGAGCTTTAATCATAGTATAACGCCAACAAGCCGCAGATGGAAGTTTTTGGATGATGATTACTGCATTAATGTGATAGTGTTATTTTTTGTAGTTGTCTTGGTCTGACATAAAACAAGCGTGTCAGCATAATAAGAAAGTTTTCCTGATATGTTTTGTGGTTGTTGGTGTCGGTTTTCACTGAGATATGCAGTTGCCTGAAGTCATCAACACTTGTTTTTTCTTGGTAAAAACTGAAGATAAATGTGTACCTTTTGTTATGTTTTATATGTTTATTTATTTATGAAGACCATGAATTTATTATGGCTCTTGAAATGATCTACATTACTCTGCCTTTGATTTATGGAACAAGTACCTTGATGTGAAGTGCATGAGTAAAAAAATCTATGACAAGGTTGAGAGCTCCTTGTGAGGTGGCTAATCCTGTTAGTGTTCTATTTTTACAGGTGAATGGGTTGCATGCTCGGTTGGTGCCAATTTTACACCCCATATTATCACTGTTAATTCGGGAGAGGTAATTAACTCTAATAATTATGTTTGTCATATCCTACATTGCTAAAACCTTCATGATGTCAATGGTTGGTCTAAATGAAAATATTACATAAGTTAAATCGCTGGAGATGGCCAATTGTGAGTACTAGATTGGTAGATATTATTTACTTCAACAAGTAATTGGTGGCCTGTTTTACACTTTCAGATCATTTAGCAACTTCGTTAGGAGTTTTGGTTTATAACTTCAATGGGTACTTTAAGAACTTAAGTTGACTTTTCCCTTAACAACCGTGGTTGTCTTAGGATGTCATGATGAAGATTATATCATTTTCTCAACAAGGTCCTCGAGCAATATGCGTGCTCTCTGCCAATGGTGTTATTTCAAGTGTGACTCTTCGTCAGCCTGATTCTTCTGGCGGTACATTGACATACGAGGTGATGCATTTTAACCTTTTTATGATAATATCGCTGTTTCATTTGGATCAGTAATGTGTGGCATTTTTTTTTTTCCTGTAACATAATGTGTGGCATTTTGGAAGTATTCTGGAATGGATAATTCTATTAACAATGATTTGCTTAGTATCTGATATTTTTTCCCCATAACTTTCTCCTGTGTGTACTGTAAGCATAAATATAATTAGTTTTTTTTAGTTGATTTTTTTCTGTTACTGATTGTATTAAGTGGCATACTCATTCTCTGATTCCGCCTTACTCGTAATGAGTATTGTTTGAGACTTCAAAAGTTGGTGACTTTTTTGTTATTGGTAATGCTTCCTCACAGAGCATGCAAAGGAAATCACCAATAAAGACTATATCCAGTTTTTATGTCTCCTTTTAAGACAGGGAGCTTTTTGTTGTTAGCCCGTCTGTTTTCATTTATTTTTCATGTCATACTGTGAACAATGATGAGGCTTATTTTCTTAGTCCGTGTGTGGTTAAAGCCCTATCTTGAGGTAACTGTTATTATTTTTTTCTTTTTTGCCCTTTTTTCCTTGGAGGCCAAGTGATTTTCTACACTTCTGATAATATTGATCGAAGAAAATTTTAGCATCTGTGTTGCTGACAAAAGTTATACTAAACGAAGACGAATGCTTATGCCTTTATTCAGAAGTTTGGTATCGGAAAAGTTAGTTTGGAAGAATTGTGCCTTTCCACCATTGTTGTCAAACTCATTACTCTCTCAATCACATAAATTTCAACTTTTTCCTCATATGCAGCCCTGATTTCTGATAATTTGATTTAGTGATTGTTTTTCATTGAACTTTCCCAAACCACAGGCTGGGTTCGTTTTTACTTATCTTTTGTATTATTAAATGTTCTTTTGCTAACCACGGGTGGGTTCTCGTCTTTGCATTCTTGTTCTTGCAGGGCCGTTTCGAGATATTGTCTTTATCGGGTTCATTTATGCCCAATGAAACAGGAGGGACAAGAAGCAGATCAGGCGGGATGAGTGTTTCTTTAGCAAGTCCAGATGGGCGTGTTGTAGGTGGTGGAGTTGGTGGTCTGTTAGTAGCTGCAAGTCCAGTGCAGGTATGGCTTATTTTATTTCCAAATGTCTACCTGCGTCCTTGCTCACTTTCACAAGAAAGCAAAAAGGCAGGATGGTTACGGGCTGCTTTTTAACGACAACGAAGCATGATCTGAGATTTCTTCCTTGCTTTAAATCAGGTTGTAGTAGGCAGTTTTCTATCAGGAAACCAGCATGAACAGAAGCCCAAGAAACAGAAACATGATTACATGGCTAATGCAACACCAACTATGGCTGTTCCTATTTCAAGTGCCGACCCAAAATCAAACTTCTCATCCTCGACTGCCTTCCGTGGAGATAATTGGTCGTCATTGGCATCAGATCCAAAAAACAAGACTGACATTAATGTATCTTTGCCGGGAGGTGTAATGTGAAGAGTAAGTGCTTCTAGTTGCAATATGAGGTTTCTCACTGACCACATTGGCAATTAAGCTCCCCTATTCCCAACCGTTGGATCTCACTTGTCCTTGTTTGTTGTTGTCTGTAACTTGACTGCTAGTATCGTCGCAGGGTTCAACCCCATTTGAGGTGTTCTTTAATTTAGCCGCGTAGGAAGGCTTCTAGTGCTGCTTCGGCAGCCTGTTGTGACATCTAGAGTAGTTTGATCATGTAATATTAGCGACCGAATCTGCCTTTCCTTGGATTGATGTAATGTGATTTGAAGTTGTTTGAGACGTATTCACTCATCTTTCTCGATCGTTTGATTCTGTTGGTTCAACTCCGTGAACTTCAGCTTTCGTTCCTTTGATTTAGTTAGAGGAAGGCTGAAGGCAGGAAATAGGTAGCCTGTGGGGATGTACAATCTTGAAAAATGATGAAATTTCTGGGGGTTTCCGGTTTGCTTTGGATTTGTTGTTTAGAGTGCTTTTGCAGGGGGAATAGATACATTCCTAATGAAAGTTGAACGTAGATGGACCTTATCTCCGACTTTCTCAGTCTTTCTTGTTACCGGTTGTATACAGTACGTTTGTATCTCTTACTAAACAGAGGGAAGGAAATTTTGATTTTCCCCATTAACTTTTGATGTTTACACCATAAGCTACATTTAGTAGTTCTCATGTGTGCGGGCGACTGGTTTGGAGGGGACATGAAGTCAAACTCTAACAAGTAGACAATTATCAGACACAAACATGATTACGACAACTCCTATGAGAAACAAAAATTGGGAAGTCTTGAAGATTATGACTAAAAGTTGCAACTACGCACGGCAGATCACCACCATAGTTTGCCAAGCAATCGGCCACCTGATTTCCTTTGCGATAATGTGAGAAATCCAAACATGCATGGAGAGAGAATGGTATAACAATTTGCCCAATCAATTGACAAACGCCAAGGCACATGAGAAGATCCTTTAAAAAAAAAAATGCAGTGCCAAATAAGAATCACACTCAATCCAAAGAGAATGCCAACCCATCTCCAAAGCCATATGAAGAGCATGAATAATAGCTTCAAGATCGCCTCCAAGGTAGTAGCACCGCCAAATATCTTGCAAAGCATTCAAGACAATGACCCAAAATGGTCATGGAAAATACCACCAAAACCAGCCATGCTCGGAGAACCACGAGTTGCATCGTCAGTGTTAACTTGAACTTGAAAAGCACAAGGAGAAATCCAAAGAAACTCATGAATTCTAAAACTTGCGAGCGAATGCCATTAGCACTGATCAACTGTAAACATTTTCCCTTCAAAACGGAATAAATTTCGAGCTTGCCAAAATGAGTAAAAACCTGTCCCAATCATACCCCACCATAATAACTGAAGTTGAGTACCGAAACCACGCCACAAAGGACGTTGACTGTGATGTCGGAGAAAAAAACACTGATTTTGGAGTTTTTGTTTACCAGATTTCATGTCTCTTTCACTTGTAATCACATCCGGCAACTCCAACTCAACTCAAGTCAGCTGTCGTCAACATCAACAACTCATTAATCGGATTTATAAAGAGAAAATGAGTGCACGGGTAGATCTAAATTATGGAAAACTTCGAAATATAAAAAATTATCTTTGCCGGACTGGATTTTTTCCACCCGTTCAGGGCCTGGTGGCGTGGCGTGGCGTGGGGTTGCCATAGGAAGCAGCGGTGTGAACAATTGCGAGAAAGGTAGGGAAAAAAAGGCCTTTGTTGCTTATATTGTTATAGAAATATGTTGGGGTTTTTGAACATTAGTGCTTGCAAAAGATTAAAATTTAAAAAAACCTGATGTTAGATTAAATATTCAATTTAATCCCTTGAGTGTACTTTTATCAAAATTTACATTCAATTTTTCTTATTTAATGTGTATTTTTATTTAATCTCTTATATTAAATTTTAATTTTATTAATATGCACATATTTAATTTTTTAATTAGAAATGAACGTAAATGAGAAAATATTAAAAAAAAAATTGTGATACAAAAATATATAGATACATAAGTGTACAGAAATAATGGTACCAAAATATATAAAATTGACTTTTTTGTACCAAAATATTTGTACGTACATGATTGTACCGAAATATATTATAATGTACCTAAATGTCAATACCAAAATGTATGTACCAAAATGTACGAACCTAAATGTCAATACCGAAAATGTATGTACCTAAATATCAATACCAAAATGTATGTATCTAAATGTATTTACCGAAATAATAATTGAATTAATGTACCTAAAAGTCAATACTCAAATGTGTGTATCAAAGTGTATGTAACGAAATGTCTTATATTGAATCAATGTAACTACATGTTTGTACCGATAGATATACCAAAATATTCAAATGTATTAATGTACCTAAATGAAGACCATACAAAATTGTTATCGGAATATATATTATAAAAAATTTAGTTACCTAAATGTAGACATTAAAATATATTATGATGAATGAAATAAAAATTAAATTTAAATGTAATTAATACATTAAAATAAAAATAAAAAGATAAAATAAAACATCAAAATACAACTAATAAATGATATGATTAAATGTGCTAGGGACTAAAATTGGATTTTAATCTTACATATGGTTATAATCTAAAACTCATCTTTTTTAGGGATTAAAATGAAGTTTTCTAAAATATGTTTTTACTTGATAATGAAACCATAATGCAATGTTTGATGATATGAAAACTTGTCACGGATAATTATAGCTTGTAAGTTGCTACATTGTTTTATTTTTATCAAGGTTTTAAAAAACGTTAGGGGCTAATTGTGCGGCAGGCTAGAGCCTAGTGGCTTAAGTAATTTATTATATATTTGCATAAATCAATGCCTATTTATACTTAATGAGCGTTTATCTAAGTATTTAATAAGTCCCTTACATTTTAATGAAAAATCAAAATGCAAACTGAAAGTATTGATTTTCTGTCTAAATGAGAGTCGCAAGCTAGGCGGGTGCCTAGGCAGGCCAGGCACCCGCCTAAACAGATCTAGACCCAATTTCTTAATTTTCAAACGCCAAGGTACTAATCGAGACGCCTAAACAGATCTAGACCCACTTTCTTAATTTTCAAACGCCAAGGTACTAATCGGGACTGTAACCAACCTTTTAGTGCCTAGGCAAGGCTTAAGTGGCGCTAGGCGGAGATTTAAAAAACAATAATCTAGGTGGCGCTAGGCTTATGTTGTCTATCTAAATAAACTTAAAAGGGTAAATTACATTTTACCCCCTTAGGTTTAGGTGCAATTGCAATATCTTATAACATCTTTAAAACATTTCACTCTTATACATTAACTATAATTTTCATTTCATTTTAATACAACCATTAGTCAATCCGTTAAATTGACTGTTAAATAATGACGTGGCATATATAAAATCTACATTTTTAATGAAGTGGATGCCACATGTACAAAAAAAAAATTTAAAATACCAATTTAAATATAAAGCTAATATAAAACAAGGGGTGTGCTATCCACACATTCATTTTTACTTCTTCCATACCCCTTGTTATTTTCTGTCATTTGATATTCTTTAATTCATCCGATCCGACGGTTGAAAATTAAAAGGGTGTAAGAGAAGTAAAAAAGGCTGTGTGGATCCCTTAAAACAAAACTAAAAAAAAACACAAAGCGGGCCCACATCTTCTTTTAAATGTCTTCTGAGTCTACACTCCCCTTCTTCTCCAGCTACTTGCTCCAGCGAAAAAACGTATGTAGAATCTTCAGATCGGCCCCAAATTGCAGTACTTAATCGAGCAAAAACCACATAGCAATCCAAATGGATTTGTGGAGGCACTGGGTCTGGGGAATTTAGGATTTGAACAAATCCCACTCCTAAATTCATCAAATCCCACCCCAAAATTTACCTCCCTATCTAGGACTTGCAGGTGGCGGGCGGCGGGCGCGGGAAACGTCGTTGAGGTTGCTGTAGTAGCATGAGGAGAGAGGCGGAGGGACGCCGACTTCGGCCCTGCAACCTGGACCTGGGTTTGGGGGAATTTCGGATTTGGACAAATACAACCCCCAAGTTCACCAAATCCAACCTCCAAAGTCACCAAATCCAACCCCTAATGTTTTCGAATCCAACCCAACCCCTAAATTCGATCCGCGTTGGAGTTGTTGATGGCGTAGGAGTTCTAGGTGTCTGAGGGGTTGAGTTAAGTGGTAGCGAATTTGTCGAGGAGCTTGTTGTCGAACATGACGATTCCCACGCCAGTGCTGCAGGCGACGAGGCCGCGGGTCTTGAGGGACCAGAAGAGGATGAGGAGACACGGAGGAGGTGGGAGACATCTTTGAGAGAGTAGCGAAGGAGTCGACGTCTTAGGGCTTCTTCGATGGCCTGTTGTGAGGAGAGCAGTGTAAACCTTTATATGTGGAACTTAAGTATAATCAACCTAATATTTGAACTACGTGTAAGTATGAGAGAATAGAGTGATTACACTAATATAAACGCACGAAAACATGCAACACACTTACTTGCTGAGTTCGCCATAGAGATCAGAAAGCAAGAAACAATGTAATCACAATGGAACTAGGGTTTGTAGTAGCAGGTTTTACTACAAGAACTTGTGGGTGCATGAAAGGCTGTGTTCTTCTCTTCTCTAGGACTCAAAAATGTTCTGCAAGTGATGGAGATTGTATCAAAATGAACTGGCGTCCGAGAAAAGAGACCATGCAACGGTTTTAATCATGTAAGGCCATAACTGCTCCATCCATCGTGGTTGCAGTTATCCCACGTTAAGTAGAGTTTTTAGCAAACTCATTCTCTTAAGTTCACTTCCCTTTTAAGTGTTTTATCATGATTAAAACACAAATTACGAGTCCATTAAATCTTCATAACACATACAATAATATGGTTTTGTTACAACTCACACCACTCGGAAAACCTTACAAGGAGGTGTTGCAGACGGGAGGAGAGAATGAGATGTTGCAGACGGAGGAGAGGAGAAGCCTGGGATTGGATTTTTTGGGGTTCTGCCGACGGATGAGATGTTGCAGCAAGAGGAGAGGAGGAGGTGATGGGTTTTGTCTGGGGAAAAAATTGGGGACGGGGTTGGTGACGGGGTTTGGTGATGGGAGAAGGGGTGGCTCGGGTGGACAAGGGGGTGGTGGTGGGAGAAGGGGTGGGGAAGATGAAGAATTTGTGTATTTTATTTTTTATTTTTAGTTAATTATTTTAATATGTTAATATTCAAATTAGATTTTAATTTTTTATTAATTTTGTATGCCACGTGGGACACGTTTGTCAGCCACGTCAACACAAATGTGAATCCCATATTTGCCATGTCATCAGTTAACGGTTCTAACGGATGTATGAAATTAAAATAAAATGATAAGTAAATGTACGAAATTAAAATGTTTTAAAAATGTGGTATGAGGTTGCAATCAACCCCAAACCTGAGGGAGTAAAATGTAATTTACCCAACTTAAAAGCTTTTATCCACCCATGCACAAAATTTCAGGAAATAAAAGAAGACCCAAGAGGATCCTCGCCGGATCTTCTTTTTGTGAGGATCCTCCAATCATATTCGTTTATTGTACATCGTGCAGTTAGAAATTATTGTAATTTTTATTATTTAAAATTAAATATAAACAGTATCTAACTGATATATGATGAACATATGTGATTGGAAGATTCTCGGAATTTTCACAAAAAAGATCCAACGAGGAAACGAGGATTCTCAATCAAAGAAGACGAGGTCAAAAACATACTTCTTAATGAGTCTGTCATCTCTGCTTATGTAATATTTTATCATCCTGTCCACTTCAAATCATTCCCGAATACTGCTTTTGATTGAAGTCAATGTCTATTTTTATGTTTGTTTTGATCAACAGCAGCTAGAAAGTTAACCGTGTTTTGGAAACCTGCATTGCCACAAAGATTCCCAGAAGTTGAGTTGTGTTTTAAAACTAAACGTACAAGTCATCAGACACATGCATGCCCTCAACCAAGTCTTGTTTGGGATTACTTTGTAAGAAGCACTTATTTTTTTTAAAGTTTTTCATTAAAAATACTACAATATCCAAATTGGAAATAAAAAAAATATGCCATGATATTTCTATATAAAGCATTGTTTTGACTCAATAACATTTTTAATTTACCACTTAGTACTACGGTCTAGTGGTATTTATTTTAATTTGTAAGTAAGAAGTTTTAGGTTCGATTTGCTAAAGACAAATTTGAACCACATTATTGCTAGCTCACTGTAAGGCTAAGCTCACCCACTTCTCCCTTAGTGTAGATAATATCGTTTGTTAAAAAAAAAAAAAAACTTTTAACTTGATTTCCCAAACACGAGCAAAAGCGTGCTTAGCTGTGAAAACGCTTTTGATCATTTCTTAAGCATTCCCAAACAAACCCTTTTGCTCTGCACAAGTTGGCTTCTTAAATACAACTCTGATTTACATCTAGATTGCACAATTTATTAAAACGTGTTAAACTAATGATCATGTTGACTTTAGTTCCGCAAATACACTCCAATTTCGTATACTTTATTAATTTTGTGTTTGCCCAAATTACACTAATTTTGAAAAATGAGTGAATTTGGACATGGCTTTTCTTCTTAGTAGGTTCAAAAGTTAGCTTGGAAACCCATGAGAAAAGCCGCCTGTTTCTCTCTGAGCAAGAAAACTCAGAAAACAGTGCTTAATTTATGCTTCAAGTTTTCATTACTTAACAAAAACTATTAGCTAAATTTTAAAGTCAAATTTTGGAGTATACAAATAATATACTCCATCAAACTTTCCGGGAAAATCTGCAGACACCTCTATAAATTACATATATTCTCAGAGGAAACTTGAGAATTAAACTATCAACATCCCATCTGTTTGTAAAGACCAGGACATGATGTTTGTTGGCGTACCAAGACCTATTTTTCTATTGCTGTTCTTAGCTTCTGCTCTTGTTCTGAGCTATTTTCTACAATCAACCTCACGACGAGATCTTCAATTCTCGTCCAATCCTCTGTTTGTGTTTTCGTTGTTTAACATCATTATCGGTGCCATCATTGTTGGAAATCACAGGCCATCTTCCGGGGAAGCCGATGACGCCATATCTTTCATGCATCATTCGTATGAACTAGAAGAAGATGGAGCTGATGACGCTGAGGATGCAAAGAGTGATAAATACTCGAGTTTGGAGGGTTGTGACCACAGTAGGGACCATGTTGATGACAACGATGATGGTGAAAGTGAAGATGATGATTTTGATTTTGAAGGCTACGAAGAAGATGACGACGACAATGGTAGCGATGATGAGATTGGTTGGGGAGACATGGATGAATATGACTGTAATTTGGAGAAACGAATCGAAGACTTCATTGCCAAGGTTAACAAGGGATGGAGGGAAGAGAGGTTAAGGGATGGTCTCTCCTATCCCTTACAGCTAACCTACCTGTGAATTATTTACAAAGCTCAAGAAAATAATAATTTAATTTTACTATAATTTTCCTTTGTCTCTCTTGTTCTCTGCCATAGAATGCATAAGTTTAACTGATACCTGCAATGCTGAAATGCACAGATGCTGAAATGCGTGATAACTGTCGCCTCGCCTGTGTGAGTAAAAATGATATAGCATCCTTTTGAACAAATAGTTATTTCCAAAAGTCTTAATGTGTAGTGTTCCTTCAAAGATCAAAGGGAAGCAAATTTTATGCAACAATTACGACTGATCAATAGTTCTATACTACATACAAGTGAACTTCAGAAATATTTTGAATATTATAGCTGCAATCAACCAATTTGCCTACCAGAGCAATAGTTGTACTAACCAAGACCTGATCCGGTGTCCTTGGGAGGTGCGTCAGCCTTGATACGAGGTGGCCTAACAACACGATCAA